CTAATCCTGTGGGCTACTGTATGGGAAAAGCAGTCTGATGGAAAATTTACACAGGTTAAGAAGGAAATCGCTCTGAGAACAATAGACTTAGGAAGACTGTCACACACCTGGTTCAATGGAACTTACACAACTACTGGTGGAAGTACAGCCTGCTATGTTTTCAAGGGTAATAGCATGTTCTATTTAGGAAACCAGGTTGAGTTGGTGGATAACACGCTGGCTTGGTGTATTATAGTTAAACCAGAACACTCAATGCCCACTGGATCGAGTATGGATATGTCCTTTTGCTGGTCACTTCGATACTCAGGGTCAGGTGCTTAACATTTGTTGTAATATAAGGTATAATGTCAAAGTGGCGGTCATGCTTCTCATGTATGGGTAAAATCTGCGGCTGTCGTGAAAGGTCTAATAAGGGTAAGGGAGTTGGTGATGTAAATTTCTCTGTATCAAACAATATTAACGTTGGAGTAAGCACACAAGATAAAAAAGATACTTCAAACACCGTATTTGAACCAAAAAGTTACGGCCCCTTAAGTATCCTCAGGAGTGAAATAAAAGATGTTGAATAGGCTTTGGAATAGAGGAATTGAATGAAATTGGTGGAGTTGAAATTTGAAGATTTGAGAGAAGTGAATCGTTTTAATTTTGTTAGAAAATCTAGCGCTTAAAAAACCAATATGGTCTAGAAAATAAAATCATGATTAAAAAATTCAGATTGAGCCAGACGGATTTCGGTTCACGGAAAAACCGTCGAAAGTCTAGTGGTCTAGACACGCTAGTTCCTATACTACTTGCGAATCCCTAAAATATTCATTAATTTTTAGCGAATCCCAGCAGCCTTTCGCGCTCGTATTCGACTCTTCCGCTTGGCTCGGGGAAGCAAATAGCCGTACACAAAAATGCAATAACTTACCGGGAATATGATGGAAACGTGAGTTTCCAATGTTTATTAGAAGATATTCTCTAGCAATAAAAATCGGAGAGAATTTTTGTTTCATTATTTCTATTATCACTTCAATATGACGACATATTTAGACAATTTCTTTAGACAAATTTAGGTAAGGGACGTTTTTAACAACGCCTACACCAACCTGAAATTAATCAAGCCGTCATAGATGCCGAGTGATGGCTTGCTTGACACCAAAAACGGCAATCAATGTGGTTTCACCAGTGAACTGTAATAACACTGGAACGCTAATTCCGAAGCCAAGATGGTGCTTCTCTCGAGGCTCAGCGAGCAATAAATTAACTTTCAAAAGGACTAGGAAGAGTTTCGAGGAGCGTAAAATTCAGTAGTCAAAAGTTTGTTTTTGAGCGAAAATCTGCAAGAAAAATAATTTTTTTATCAAAAGGCTTCAACTTTAAAGACTCAAACATGATTTCCTGGATAGTTTTAACTACTTTACATCCCCTAACAGCAAAAACTTCCTGGGTAACAGTTTCCTATTCAAAATATTACACAAGTTTGAAGTACCGAAAAAAACTTGGCACTTTGACTTCTGAGAAAATAACTTTAATACTGCTCGACGTTCTGGAAACATCTTTTCTATTTAATTTCAAGTTTTGGTGAAAGTTTTTAGCTTTTTCTTTGTTGAAATAAAGCTACTTAGTGCTTAAAAACAGTTGTCTTTTCGGCGGCGTATTTTCGATGCATTCGTACATGGCGGCCATCATGAGTGGCTTCAAAGATGGCGTCCAAGTTATCGTTCCAGTTCCCTTACAGATCACTGGGTTTCACGTTCGTGATTTCAAACAAGTCCGGCTGTCGTCATCGCTCTCCATCCATTACGGCTTGATTCACTTCTGGTTGGCGTACGTTGGGTCAAAAAAGTCGCTTGCTTTGGCTCTCCAATGACAGTATTATTGGACGTACGCTATATTGCCACTGAATATCTTTGAAATCCCTAGTAGTATTTACATAATAAATGGAAGAATTCAAATTTCTTGTCTTAAACTGCATGAAAGCAGGAGTGCTCGAGTGCCATTAGCTTATATTATTTTCCCCGTTTTCTCCAAGTTCCAATATTGTTGTCTGGAACCTTAATCTATGTTTTATCATTTCTGTAGGACACTTTCTCTGCGGACACAGATGGCAATATTGGATCACCTGGTGCGCCAACCAAATATGAAGCAATCTTCCAAGCTGTTGGAAAACAACCTGAGGTAAATTTTCGTTTCCGACTTTACTCAGTCATTAAATAGCATGCATATTCGTGATAAAATCGTGAAAGTATATTATATCTAATCTTCTGCAGATCAGCCTGTCCAAAGACTGTGACGATGAAGACGGGTGTGAACAGGGAAGTAGAAGTGAAGACCGAATACCGAAAAAAGAACTTCTAGCTGCATTAGAAAAGGTGATATTACGATGCCAATTCACAAACCACTCCCCCCTCCTTATTGCGCAAAACTAAAATTTTCCTTTACGAAGATGTTGCATATGATTTCACCTAACTAACCTTAATTACTGCGTTACTTGAAGGAATTTCAAATTTAATATGTGAAGACCTTAAATTCAGGTACAAAATGGGCATTTTCACATGTGAGATTTTCCGATTGGGCACAAGGTGAAATTTCCATTAGGGTTAATTTAGACAGCATGCTAGTCAAACGTAATTATTGCGGCAGATATAGACCAACTTAACTTGCTATACAAATTATCCATTCCAATGTTTATTTACACTTTTGAAACATGTCGTATTTTGGTGGCATTGCCATGATCATGCGAACGCACTTTTTCGTACTTCAACAACATTAAGCAGAAAAGAACCCATTTCCTAAAAGTGCAAATAAACACTAAATGCATGTGCAATTTGCATACAAAGTTCATTTGGCGTTCATAGACGGAAAACGTTTTCTAACGAGCGCTAGCAATGATATCAATGCTTAAATTAAACGGTGCAGGTCATGCAGGTGTTGTCGAAGAGTGTAAATATATATGTATCATTTTAAAATAAGTAATAGTATGGTTTCTTGTGCAATATGCATGGAAAAACATATGCACGTAGCAGTTTTTCAACGACCTCGAGTCTTCCAGAGACTCGTGCATGCTTTTTATTGCAAATTGCACTGGGAACCATTCTACGTATTCCCTATACAAAGTAGCTCAAAACTATACGGTATTAATTTGTTTTAAGGACAACCCACCCGTTGCCGCTTTTACTGGAGAGAAGCATGATAATAACAATGGTGGCCCTTCATACGAGATTGTTTCCATGTCAACTAGATCAAAAGAAAATGTAAGTTGTTGTACAGCTATTTTTGTTTATTATCCATTTTGTTTTCTAGATTTTAGTTTTTATTCAAATCCATAAACTTAATGCATTGCCTCCGCAGTAGTAACTTAAAGTCTTGTTCAGACAAGTCGAACATCGTTCAACATTCTTCGCTCAATAATGTAAAAACAATATAATATATAATATTAAAAAAATTACCCACTAAATAGCTATATTAATAAGCTAAATTACAATGTGCTGCAAATACAGTTTTTACTATTTTTAGAAATTGATTGAGAATAATATAAGAACTATTTCTTATATTTTCTTATATTAGGTATATAAAACCATGCAAGAATGGTACGATTTTCAAATCTAAGGGTTATGAAGTGTTAAATTGCATGTACTTAGGGAGTAAAAATTACTCCAAAAATGGAGTAAAAAAGGGAGTAAAATTTACTCCAAAAAAGGAGTCGTTCTGTACCTTTTTTTTACTCCACCCTTGGAGTCATTTGACTCCTCGAAATTAACAGTGTATTTATTGTATAAATCATGATAAGTCTCGGACTAAATCTTTTAGCTCTGCACACATAATTATAATATTCTAAGCCATCTGTCGACCTCGTCTCCCTCTGTCTCATAATTTTGAAACCTTCATTGACAGAAGATGTTAAAGTTAATTTTGTCGCCGAGGTTTGACATTTTCTTAATCGTGTGAACACACATAACATGCATGTCTACGTTCCTTTAGGGTTTTGAAATTGGACTAAGGTAATGCATGATCATAGCTCATAGGCTACCATGGAGGAGTATCCTTAGCACATAGGCTACCATGGAGGATTATCGTTTGTAACCTCATTGGGTGAAAACTTTGAACAAAGTTAAACCCAATCCGACATCAGCCAATCCCAACAAAGTGTTCAAAAAACAAGGGCAACGCTCGATGAAGTTCGATCCACAAGTTGGCCTCGTTTAATTAAAGAGTCACTGTCAACGACAATGCATTGTGCGCCTTGGCGGCCATTTTAATGGCGGAATAATAGATGTTTCGGTTTTCAATTCATAATAGATTACTACCATCCTATTGTTATACTTGCTCATTTTAACGTTTTTATACTAAAATTGCACCAAAAAATGTTTATAATCTTCATTTGTTGCTACTGTATTTGTCACTTCCGAATGTGAGATGTAAACAAATGCATTGTGGTTGACAATGACTCTTAAAACACACCTTGAATATTTTAAGCATTTGCCCAGAGAACAAGTTGGCATGAAAACTGGTTGTCCAAAATTAAATTCATTTGCGATCTAATCTATACAGATTTATATCGAGGACGTGGACGTCAAAGACGATGTCAAAAACGACGTCAAAGACGACGTGAAAATGGCGTGTTGTGCCCATGCATGTATGGATATGCCACGCCATTTTGACGCGATTTTCAAGTTGTCTTTGACGCCTGAGTTCTCGATCAATATCTGTCTATTGACAAATCCGAAGCAAATGATTTCGACAAGAATCAACAAGTTCAATTAAAGACTTAAACATATAAAGACTGATTTCAGCTGATTTATGAGTAAAGAATAAAAAATAGAATGCATATTAACATAATCAGGTAAAACAACTTGCCCGTTCTAAAGTCACAAGAAAGAACTTCATGCTCGTAATGATTTTTACTTGCCCCGGGCTAGTGAGCAAAGACAGCAAGCACTACGTTACACCTGAATTTTACTGAATTTTATCATTTTTTGCTACTCTGCTCGATAGTTATGTACTTTCTTTTTTTCAGGATGAGATAATTTAGGATTTTTAGTCGTACTTCTCTTTAGGACTTTCAGTCGCACAATGTTTATTGTCTGCCACATAAAGTATATGTTTCTAAAAAGTGTTCATTTTGTAATCTGGATATATAGAATCGACGCCAACATTTATTAGGCCTATAAGTTCAATGATTTGTCATGCTAAGGCATGCCCATAAACCGACTTAAGTAAGGTTTTGAATACCTTGGGCTTGTTAAGAATATGTAGTACCAGAAAAATGCAAGTAGGTATAGATAACAAGAGTTCACATTGTATGTGGCATTTAGCCGGTTGAAACATGCAAAGGAATACCTGATCGTACTTTGTTTGATCAAAGTTATGATTCCATGCTATATACTTCAGAACGCAGTGCGTGTATATTTTTGTCCCTCCATGCAGCCTTTTGATCCCTCTCTAAATTAAGTCCCCTTATCAATATATATATATATATATATATATATATATATATATATATATATATATATATATATATATATATATATATATATATATATATATATATATATATGCCGCCCTTCTAATATTCTTGAACTTAGTTCATGGATTTAGGGTATTATTTGGAAATCATTTCGCGCGATAAATATGAGAAATGTTGCAAAAGGCATTAAATGTACTGAATTATTTAAAATGTTTATCCAGGATTCGTCACCACTTGATGCGTTTACAACAATCGAGTCATCCGAAAGTTCGTCAAACAAAGGAAGTTCCGAAGCAATATACGAAATTATATCTCAATCAATAGAAAAAGGAAATAAAGTAAGAATCCACGTGTCATGTTGTTCCAATTATTTTTTATTTTGTTTGTTAGAATATTTTTTCCCCTAAGGAACTTTCCAACGAGGATTGTGATGATGAAGATGATTGTGGCAGTGCTGATGGTGTTTTCAGTAATGATGGTAGTGGCGATGAAGGTGTGAAAGGTCTTTCTCCTCCAAAAGACAAGGTATGCCTGACTGCATGTAATCAATTACGGGTTTTATTGTTGATGGTCGTAAAACAAAGACATTAGCCGAAACTATGGTAATCATTAAAAATCATGCTCCATTTGATTATTTTTCACATTCTTTAAATTAATGGAAAACAACATTTCTGTACTGTGTATATTTCTATACACTATTGATTTCACCCATTTTTAAAATAATGTCACAATTAGGTCGAAAATATATGTATATATATTTGAGAAACAAATCAAATGTTTTTTTTTACATAGGACTCCGAAAAGACAGCATACTATGAAGTGATATCAAAATCCATGGTTGGAAAAGATGTAAGATTGGTAAAATAAATACTGTGCAAAGAGGAACATGAACTCCAAAGAAAACTTTCAAACCTATCTTGAAATACGTGTTATTATTATATTCTCATTTTGAAATCATGGCTGTAATACATTTTCACCACGGTATGGTGAAAATTAAAACGTTTTGTGGAAAATGAGAATTGATTCTCAGTTTTTAATTATATTTTTTAGGATTCAACACCGACGGACGCGTTTTCGACTGGCAAGTCATCTAATATTTCGTCAAATGAAGGAAATGAAAAAGTAATATACGAAATAATTTCTACGTCGTTGGAAAAAGGCGATAAAGTAAGAACAATTTGCCGTATATAAATTCTTCCTCGAAATCCAAGTCTCATGAATCTTCAGAGATGCTAACTTAAGTATCATGCTAAATTTTACAAATATAGAACTTGAAACAAACCTTAATGCGCTCACTTTCGAACCAAAATAAAAGTTATATTTAATATGTCCAATCTGTCCCAGCGGAAATTTCAATTTCACATAATAACAACAATCTAAGTTGAAGCTGCAAAATATATCATAAAGAATAGTATAATCTCATTAGCATGCATTGCCATTGTCTTGACTCGAGCCTGCTTATGGTCTTGATAGTTTTCTATATTATTTAGCTTTTCATGATCTTAACTTAAAATATAATTTATTATTATTTAACTTTTTCCTCGCGTTTGCAACATGTATATCCTGCTAACCCCAGCATATAATCCTCATGCATACTGAGGGGTTTGCTGTAATGGGAATTCTCACGCCACTTTAATGATAAATCCTATTTTTACAATTTTCTAACTTAGATTTGAATCCCAAGTTTTGTATAAACTTTCCTTTGATATTTTTTATATATCTCCCCTAATTGTGACGTCATTTGATTAAGTCTAAAAAACTAGGTGGCATTCGCTGGATATTTTGGTTTCATTTTCTCAGAGATTGACATATATAGAATTTGTATAAAATGATTTGTCATTTGTAAATAATCTCAACATTAATATTCTTCCAAATTATGCAAACATAATTGTTGTTGTCATTTTCCTTTAAATATGTACTTTTTATAAACATCTGTAAATTCCCAGGACAAAACACCAACGGACACTTTTACAAACGAAGAGTCGTCCGGAAATGGTCCGTCAGAGAAACGAAATGGAGACGTTATATATGAAATCATTTCTAAATCTTTGACGAATGGGAACAAAGTAAGGAAGCTTTCTTCAATATTGTTGTTTTAATATTCTATGATAATGGCGAGTTTTACTTATATTCATTGCAGTTTAATCGGAAAGGAGCCCTATTGAAAATCTGCTGTTATTCTTATGTGGAGCATAAGTCTAAAATCCTATGACCCTCTTCTTGCTACTATAATGATCTAAATGAGCAAAGTTGTAATAAATTATAGCATTGAGTAAGTAACGGCTAGCTAATCATTTACACAGAGAGTCAAGGCAAGAGCTCAATCTAATCGAGTCTGAAGGCTATTTTCATTGTATTAATAAATGCATTTATTGATGAAATAACTATTTGAATCAAAGGATGGCATTTACTATTCCTTTTATTCAATTAGTTACTTCACAAGTAAAATTTATTAATTAATAAATCATTTAAACTTTTCCGTGCATGCATGCATGCACGCACATATGAAAAACGCTTAACTTAAAGTGCATATGACATGAATTATTTTATGTTCTTAAATGAAAGAACTCTTTAAGCTGTAGTGTAACTTATTTTTCAGTTTCTTGTTTTCATGGTTTGTCCCCGAGATATTTTAATTTGTTTGGTATGTAAATGAGTGTGAATATGTTCGCTAATTTATGACGTAACGTTGGTTGCAAGCTCAACTTACACTGGTTATAAATCTATTAACTCTAAAAACTGTAGATATTAGTTCACGTTTTTCCCCAGTGTTGAAGTTAGAAATTATTATCTAGGATGATAGCCGTGATATTCAACCATTTTGAAGAGCTTGCAACCAACGTGACGTCGTAAATTAGCGGACATATTCACACTCATTTACATACCAAACAATTTGAAATATCTCGGGAACAAACCATAAAAACATGAAACTGAAAAATAAGTTACACTACAGCTTAAAGAGTTCTTTCATTTAAGAAAATCAAAAAATTCATGTCATATGCACTTTAAAAGGAGCCTATAAAGTCTTTGTAAGAGCGCCTCTGCATGATTGCCACCTGATGACTAATGCCTGGTTTTTAATTTATCCATACCCTCGCTGTCAACAATCCCTGTGAGAGCAGACACCAGGTATTCGGCAGAGCAACGACACGACTCTTTTCAAATAAGTGTCCCCGATCCGTAGCGAGAATCGAACCCACGATCTCAAAGGTGAAAGGCGCTTGCTCCGATGATTGATCGAGCGAATCCCAATATTTCCCTCTAACCTCTCTATAATATCTTGACACGAAACCTCCCAAATTTGGTAACATTAAGAAATTAACAGCTTTTGAGTTATGCAACATATTTGCATGAAAGATTAAGTAATATTTTTCGTCCTTCTTGGTATAGGAGGTTCCCAAGAAAGATTGTGATGATGAAGATGAATGTGGCAGTGCGGATGATGTTTTCATTGATCGTGATGACGTTCCCAAAGGTCTTGCTCCTCCGAAAGAAAAGGTATACTTATCGGAAAGAGTGCAGCTAATAGAATACAAAACGTGGAAAAAATAGCTGTGAAATCGAAACGTTATCAAAAGATGTTGTTATGATAGCCATTGAGGCAAACCAAAAGCTATAGAAGCATCAGCTGTTTGAGTCGTGCACCAGTAGGAATTTGATTTCAGGATCCATTCTGTTCTCCAGGCCCTAGTTATCTCATGGGAATATCATACTGAGAACTATATCACAAGTGCAAACGTTACCCGGAAATTTTAACAAGATCGAATTAATTATAAAATGCAGTTGAGCTTGTAAACTACAATACATTTTTATGGTTGCTACGCGGTGATAAGAAATCGTGCAACTGACCAATAAAATACGATTTTCCTGAAAGTTGAACTGTGATTGGCTGAAACGATCGCTAGTTAATTATTGAATATTGTTGCTGTAAAAATTGAAAAAGATGACTAATTTTTCATACGATTTTGGAGGCCTTGTAGCAATTGTGTGTGACATTCCCATGTTGCAGCACGGCTAGGTTCGCTTTGTCGTCAATAGATATCATTCAAAGCTTGGTGATTTCCGATGAAATTAAATCTATACGCTTGGCTATTTATGTATCATTTTAGGCGTTCTTATAAATGCGACAAACTTAATTTTTATTGAAAGGGTCTGTGCCAGTGTATCGAGTGTCAATAATAACAAAAGTTCGTTTAGTAAAATCTAACTTGCGTCCACAATAATTAGATCGTGTAATTGTAAAAATACACTAACTCCAATTTCCGATTTAGAATGGATCATCGGAAAAGATAATTTTTTATGAAGTGATATCAAAAACAATGGAGAAAAAAGATGTAAGATGAAATGCTTAAACACCATAGAAATAATAGATATAGAATGCGTACTTGATCACGAATCATGTCTCCACTTTTTCTCATGCGTGCCCTTATAAATCCGCATGTTGAATTTGTCTAGGAGTGCCAAATACAAAATATAAACAATGCTAAAACTACGTTTTCATCGTCAAAACGTTTTTCTTGTTGTCTAGTTTGCAGTTTGGGGATAGATTTTGAGTTCTTTGAAGGCATAAACTGTCAAAGCAATTGTGCAGTTACAAAAACGGTGAAAATAGTGCAGCCTTGTAAAAACAAAGTAGTTTCGCGTAAATATAATTTACTCAAATTCACTGTTTTGCTAATATTTAATAAGATTACAAAATAATAGTTCTTCTCTTCGTCGTCGGGTTTCTTTTTCTTCAATGTAAACGAAGTGTTTGACATGTTCTTGAAACAAAAATAGTTAGTTGTCGATAAACTGTAAATTGTCTAAATAATCGTCGAAAACTATGGTTTCAAAAGCGTTGCCTCAAGCTCAAGCAACGTAGAAAAATATGAAAAGTAATTTTGTAAGTTGAACTTCATTTATAGTATAAAAGAGTTGAAATATTTAGAGAACATACCGTTTCAGTTTGTCTTGATCTTTCGGGTTTTGGCTTGCACAACAACGTTGAAAATTTATTTTTAAACGATGATTTCTGTATATGTTCTGTTCAGAAATGCTGCTTTTCGTAAAAAAAGCCCACCAGAATGGGTTTTTAGACACTTTTTTCACTTTATTAAACTTTTTTTTTCATTTTAAGTCTCGATATAAAATTTTTTGCAAACTTTGCAGTTGAAAAAACAATTCGCACTCCCTGCAACCGCGCTAAATTCCCCGCCTCAGGAGTCTGGGACCAACCCAAAATGCCCTTATAAATCCGTCATTTTGTGGAGACAAATTTTTCACTGAGAAAGATTGGAGTAGGCATTCTATATCTATTACCGGACATGACGTCAAAAGGAGAATTTTGTTGCAATGATACAAAGGAAAACTGATTTGCAATTCTCCTTTTGACGTCATGTCCGATAACTTTAAGGGCTAATAAATCCATCAAGATGAAATTTTTCAAAAGCACAATGTATTGCAAAGTGTCTTAAAATACCCTAAACTTTCGAGATACGCAAACTCCAAAACCATGATATAAGCACTTTAATCAATTAGTGTATCTATAAGACTTTTAAGGTTTTATCAGAATGCCACTGTGAATATTGACTAATTACCGAAAAGTCTGTTTCTAATTTTACAAGTTAAATTTCATGCCTTTAAAACTCTACTTATAGAATTTAACTGACGTGTTCACAGCAGAAAAATCAAGTGGCAGTTCAATAAAGAAAGAAAATGATGGCGTGACGTATGAGATTATTTCTAAATCCATGGAGCCTGGTGATAAAGTAAGTGAATATTCAAACTTTGTTCAGATTTTTGCTCAACGACCGTGGAGCTAAAAAATTATGTAGGCCTAGTTTGTCCCATTTAAAAGAATGTTTAAATATGAGGCAGTTTTTTATCAAGCTTATAACTATCGGAATATTTTTGACAGAAAACAATGAGCGTCCGTAATTTAATGCTTAATAACCTCATTGGCGCTGGTTTTGATGATTTCAAGCGTGAGGTTAGCCTGATACAATCACCTCTATAAGTGAACAACAAGTAAAGATCAAAAATTGTTTAAAATCTTTATTGAATTTGAAATTTGAAATAGAAACTAAAAAAAGGTTTTGAGCGCGTAGTTATGTCTGGCTATCAAGATTTACTGTAAAAAATTGTTTCGCTTTCCTGATTGGCTAATGTGCATTAAAAACGAGTTTTACCATCAGAAATCTATTGGAAAAATTATGTATCAATATAGTAAAATAAGTTATCTTACTTTTGCAAGATATCTAAAAAAAGTTGTGATGATGAAGACGAGTGTGGCAGGGTGGATGATGTTTTTGTAAATGAGGGAAGTGGTTACAAAACTACCAACGGTCAGTCCCCTTCCAAAGACAAGGTTAGTACACAATTCATTAAGCTATATAAAAAAAAATTCACTGTTTATTGTGGAAGAGTTTGAAATTATGGTTCAATAAACGCTACTAGATATATCCAGGACATTGATTATTTTTTTTTTGCGACAATTCCCAATGCAAATGATGTTTTTATGAAATTTATTGGTTTGCCAAAAACGTGCAATATGCCCTATATGTACATGGGACATCGCATAAATTGGTTTTAAGCGCTTGACGTCAATATAAGATTGCTGTATAGTACAGTAATGATCCAAACATTTTATATCAACCAATTGGGACAACAAATATGAAATTCTTCACACTCAACCAAAAGTTTAAAAGTAACCGGGGATTTGCTAGCTATATAATCATCCTTTCTTGCAACTGAGAGCTAAGCTGTGTTGCAAACGACGCAGCGAGTCGAAGGTTTTCTACTTCACGTATAACCGTTTTAGAGACCCTTGAAAAAGCGACAGTCAAGCCGCATGTAATAATGGGAAATAAGATTGTAATATTTATTCCAGGATGTGCCGGGAGGAACAAAGTATGAAATTATATCAACGTCAATGGAGAAAAAAGATGTAAGTGTAAATTTTCAGATAGTGAGGTTTTCGTAGCCTGTGTACGGACTGTATTATGCTGTAATACAGCGTGTGTAAATTCATGTAATTGCATGCTTGTCGATCCACAGCTGCGCTATCCCGATCTGGTAGTTGATTCTGACTGATTTGTCTTAGTTTTAGACACAGTAAACTCTGGCTGGCTGAGCTGTTCTGACTTTTAATAGCGCAAACAGATCACATTACGCTGAGGAATTGCCATTATTTTCAACTCCTTGTTGCTCGCATTTCATTTGCTCAAAGAGATATCATATTATAATCTGCAATAGCTGCATTACAAACATGCTATCGCACAACGCAATTTATAGCACAGCCCATTGATTTTGACTCGCTCTTCGTTGGCCTGGAATATTTGGACGTGCTTATCATTCAGTTTCATTCGTGGTTATCATTCATTTTTCTAGAGATTTATTTAGTGCATACCATACCATCTATATATGGTCCGTATATTCAGCTATCTTAAAACAACTTATTACACCATGATAGTGAATTCAATTATTTTAAATTGTACCCAGGATTCAACACCAACCGACGTTTTTACAGTAGACGAGTCGTCCGCCATTTATGAAATTATTTCGAAATCTGTGACGAAAGGAGATAAAGTAAGAACTTTAATATTGTACAAATGCAGTCCATTAAATGCAAACGATCTTATGTACGTATACGTGTTCATTTTATGAAATAGAGAAAGTAGTATAACTGAAAATTTAAGTCAATATCCAATAAAAAGGATATTGATATAAAAATATCCTACTTAAAAAAGGAAGTATAATTTGTTTATTGAGACCACAACTCCAATTAATACAAGAAATACAGTATGCAGTCATTATCATAGGAGACATCCATATCCATTCTACTGAATTTTTATTTTTCTGACTCAGACTACATTGGGGAAACTAATTGCAGATTGGTTTTGTAGATGGAAATTTCGATTGTGAATTGTATACGTTTACACTAGAAAACACATGCATGCATGCATGCAGCAACCCCTCGCCTTTCTTAACAGATAAAGTATAAAACTCCACATAAAGTATTAAGACCATAATAAACAAACATAAAAAAAAACATTCGCTGCAATTTCATGTATACCTGCTTGCATTAATAAAATACATTATTTATTGTGAATAATCGAGTTAAGAATGGCTTAAAAATTTCGCAGATTTGAATAAAATCGACAACACAAAGCAAGTACGGAATGGAATACTGAAATGTTTTATACGCTTACCCAAAACGGCACAACAACAATTAACTAAATTATGCAAAATATCAACTTCAAAACAATTATTACAAACTTTGTTTCACGGTTAACAGCCATTAATTCATGAAACTGCAGAAAAAGAATTTTTGTACACTTTTGCAAGCTTTTTTACGAAATTTAAAACAAACAAATTGCTGTAAAACAGCAAAATACGTCCTTTCAAAATGAAAAACAATTATTTAGGCAGAGCTTGTACTCGCGCATGCGCATAACGTTGAAAACCGTCCTTGACATAAACAAAATGGAGGACAACTTTGAACTTTGCTATGTTTTCACATACTCGTGTATAATTAGCCGTGCGGAATTAGTACCCTCGCCCCAGGTTTACGCCAGGAACGGTTCGTTGAAAATGCAGGTTGCATTACATTTACGAAGAACAAAACTATATAGGCCCGCAGGCAGTAACTGCAACTGTGGCCCTGCGATTCCCGTGCAGTGCTCTAACCAAGTGGGCTACCGAGGCCGGCCAGTTGTCAAACTCTAAACACATGTTCATGTATACATAACACTTCACCACCTTTTCAGGTTCCATCTAACAAGAACTGTGATGATGAAGATGAATGTGGCAGTGCTGATGACGTTTTCACTAATGATGGCAGTGGTGATAATGAAAAAGTAATTTTGCCCTAAGAAGTGATTTGCACACTTTTCTGCAGATAGCCATGGTGTAGCCTTTAAAAACATTGTTGCTTTAATCACTGCATGTATGTTGGGTCTCTTGTACTTAATATTCTGCACCAGCAAAGGTGGATCTAGTCTCATCTGCAAAGAAGAGTGGAGGTTTTCCATGGGGTGGTGCATAAGGAAGCCTTACTGGTCAATGCACGCCCCTATTCAGTCTATACAACGTTACTATCCCAACATTACCATATTTTGAGATGACTGAATCCTGTTACGTTTGCGTTATTTTTTTGTTTATAAAGTTTATATCGGCTTTTTATCGCGTATGTGTGATTCGACAGTTACTGTAACACAGTACAGTAATTTAACTTGTTAAAGTGCAGTATATTTAAAAATAAGACTGTATAACAACGTCGACCTGTTTACATATTTAACCACGATATTTTACTGAAGCATTTTCTCGTGAGCTCACAAATCAATTAAATCGTTTCAAGAAATTGACACGCGCCAACAGTAGAGGTCCGGCTAATCGCTATTTGAAAAGCGCTAGAGTAGATAGCAAAATCTATTTATCTTCTTTTAGAACGTGCCTTCAGGAAAACCACCCTTTTATGAAGTGATGTCAAAGGAAATTGTGAAAAAAGAAGTAAGGCTAATCAAGTACATACCCAGTAGAAAACGTGTTGTACCAAATAAACATTATATCACAAATTATCACATGTTCTTATTTTGAAAAAGTTTGGATTCGCAGAATTTTTTTAAATATTCACTATATTTCAGTTTACCAAAAGGTAACATTTAATAAATAAAGATTGTGGGACACCTTTGTTATTTTCGATTAAATTACATTAAATCCAAGATATTTTGAAACATCATTGCTGCCAGAGCAATGCCTGCAGTTATGGATTGCCTATGTCGTTGAAAAAATTCGAAAATTTCTTTTGATATTCTCTCATGGCAAGTCAAACCCTCCTTGTTTTTGAACAATTATAATTGTCGAAAAATTTGGTTCTAAAAAAAGAAATCTTCCACTTTAAAAACGTTCTAGCAGATTGATTAAATACTACAGACAGTATTTTATCAATGGGGCAACGTATGATGTACTGTTTAATAAACGAGTAGGAGTGTTTTATCACATATAAAACACGACGCGTAGCGGAGTGTTCTATATGTGATAAAACACGAACTACGAGTTTATTAAACAGCTTCAAAAACGGCTCAGTTAGATTACGGCATTGGCGAAATAATTTTCCAAAATAACTTTGTAGTAGCTGAGAAAATACAAGTTGAAATTTGAAGCGTGTTTTATCACATATAAAGACACGCCACGCTTATGATTTCTCTTTGTGTTTTCCTCATGAATTATTAATGAGTTTTTGAAAATGGTTTAAAGAATTGTAAATTCACTTAGTATAGGTTAATTCGGTAAATTCTCGTTGGTTAAAAAGTTGCGTGCAATAGACACTTTCCAAGATATCTTTACCACGTCGTCTCCGCGGCATTCATCATTTCGTCTACCGATTTTGCTAAATAACTTTGCGAATTGCATGCTGTCAAAATTTCAAGACGGTCACATTATTGAAAGTTTGAAGGGTGTGTACGTTGCGTGATTTTCATATTTAGTTGTAAGCTGTAGGCCAATCAGAAGACTCAGAAGACACGTAGTAAAACTAGTCCAGTTGTGAAATACTATTTTGCGTGTTTCATATCCGCAGGCTGGTAACTCTCTGTGTAATCGGCCCCTCAATCATTATGTAAACTTTTGTAGGATTCATCGCCAAAGGACACGTTTGGAACTGAAGATAACGACGACGCAAAATACGAAATTATATTCAAGTCAACAACAACTGAAAGTAAAGTAAGAATTAAGAAAATTACTTGTTTAATTTCTTCGAATTCCTAAAGACACTCCCTGATATTCGAATGAATATATGTGGAACGCTACCTCGACCAGAAATTTGAAGCCACACTTGAAAGCCAGTGCCAGTCTTTTCACGCATACAAAGAACGTCAGTCCGTCAACATGAATATTTATTCTTGATAACCGGATTTCAAAAGCTTTATAACAGCGCTGAAAACTTTCTATTTTAGTGCAATTATTAAGTTACACCTTCGTAGTGGAATTAACTTTTAGTTTTTTTTCTTATTAAAACCGCATCCTCGCTCTTTAAGCTGCTCTCGCGAGGCATCAACACGCAGGTATTGACCCCCAGATACACGTATGGCTTCAAGATTTGACTTCAAGAAAAGGGTAGGCAGTTTAGCTGAAGATACCTCTCCAGTTACATTCATTTCTCTGTTTCAGCCATTGAATGTAATGTAAGTGACGTCACAACACATAATACACTTCTGCTGGAAAGTACCTAGCCAAGGCTATAGAGCCACAATTTCGGGATTGAGATAACGGCTTTAGAGCCCTTTGTACTCTTGTTATTATATACGATTGCGAAACCGTGCAGTATATTGCGCGGCCCGACCGATGTTTAGCATCTCAGCACGGTTTAAATATATTCGACCCCTTTCCCGTGATTGATAAAAATGTCAGCCCGGGCTAATTATGTCTCAGTCTGGTTGAAGCTATCAAGACTAAAAATTTTAGGGTAGTTGAATAAACAAGCGGGTTAAGTGGCTTTGTGAAAAAATGGGGAAAAAATAGTTTTTAAAAAAGGTTTTAAAAAAAGTTTTAAAAGAATTTTAAAAAGCCAAAAAAAAATTAAATATTTAGATTTTTAAAAAAGTTTAAAAAGATAAAAAAATTTAAAAAGTTAAAAAAGTTAGAGGTTAAAAAAGTTAGGGTTTAGGGGTTAGTGGTTAGGGGTAAGGGATTGGGGTTGTGGTTGGGGTTAGGGTTAGTGTTAGGTGCCGCTTATTTATTATTATGATAAATTCAAAATGTGCCGCGAATTTATCATAATGATAAATTCGGACGTGTTTAAAGAATTTACTTATATTGTAAATTCAAAGGTGGAGCTCATACTGGAACTGAAAACATGCTTGAAGCCAATTAGCCGTCAAAATTTCGCAGGTATATTTCGGTAGAGGCATAGAGCTGCTGATTATGGCCTTTATTTAAATAAAACATTCATAATGCGAATTCAAAAAGGCAGTTTTCTGGCAAATTTTCTCAAGCTGTCCATTATTTTTGCCACACCAAATCGCGTCATTTGTTTGCTTGACATGTTATTCCCGCGTGACTGTAAGACCTGAATATTCACTTAGATATACTTGGTTATCTCTAGAAATCACAAGAATGCGGCAATGATGATGAAGATTGTCAATTGCCAAACTCTGGCAGTGGTGATGATACGTTCAATGCAAGACGTACTTACTCGCCTCCCAAATTTCAGGTATTAACCATAGATGGATTTCAGATCTTGCTCGGGGGGGGGGGGCGAAAATTCGCGGTGAGTGAACAAGACGGCGGATAGCGCTGCCGAGCAAGCTTCAGCAGGGGCCTGCGGCACAACCACTACACAGCGTAAGGAAGGGGGCCCGGATATTTTGAGATTTCGGTGTTGGTTTAGTTAAAAATCCATGTTTTTAGTCTTATTTAGTTCAAAATCCTTATTTCAATCATACTACTGTCAAATTCTCCAAGTCTGAGGGGGCGCAAAATATTGGAGAGGGGGTTCGCATCCTCCTGCACCCCCGAGTGCAAACTCAGCAGAACGTTCTCTTGTCACTAGGGGGAAATGATGAAATTCATGAGCTGATACATTTAGTCGTTTCTTAATAGTAAACGCTTTTCTTTTCCAGTCTTAATACTCCCATTATTTGACAGACATTTCCCCCTCCATTTCCATAGACTCGCCCATGCACTTGACGTTTGACAGCGGTGTTGGTATTAACCCATTTGAGCAGCTAGGGCGGACTGAGTGGTCGGGGGAACCGTAGCTTCATTTGATGAAAAAAAATTACATTTTGTTTTGTTTCGAAGGTCAATAGTGCAAGCATATCCGTAGCTGTGTAACCAATCAAATTGCGCCAAAAGTATTATATCTACCTCCCTAATATATGATATAAGTTTGTTCCTCAAGCTTTGTATTCGGAAAACATCTGAACGTCCAACGGGAGAAACTGTTTCTACAGATTGCCGTTTCAGTTTTATCACAAGGGCTATACAGCAATGCGATGTTAATTAAAGACCTGGTTCCTATATCATTTTTATATGCGTCCTTTGTACATTTTCACCATATCATTTTGTAATGCGATGTTTGTATTGATACATATGCCAATGGTTTCGATGTCCCTTCGCAAACATAATGGTTTTGTCCCACTAAAGTTTTGTTAGTATAGGTAATCATGCGATGGCGAGTACAATTGGGGATTAATAGTACGAGTGATGTTTGAAATTTTGCCAAAATTGAACGAGCCGCCGGGGCGAGTCCAATTTGGCAAATTTCCAAACATCAAGAGTACTATTAATCCCTAATTGTACGAACAACATCGCATGATTACTTGTTTATTATTAGCATGACAAAATTAGATACGTACTTCTCAATGTCAACGTCGTATTCTCTCGCCAAAGCCCATCAGTCCTGCCAGACTTTCAACCAAAATTTGGTGCTTTTGTTTGTATTTTCATTTAGTTCTTTTGTTCAAGCAAAATTTTGTGCTTTTGTTCGTATTTTCATCTAGTTCCTCCACTTCAATTTCATTTCGCAATTGTGTTTAAAATACCTTTCCCCCATTTTGTTTGTTTTGGGAAAATCATTAATTGTACTGCAGTACAATTAATGAAATAGTTGTACTCCTCTCAACCAATCAGCATCCAGTAATTTTGTCATACTAGTAATAAATAATGTAACAAATTTTGTCATTTCTCTTCATTCACAACAACTTATGTTTATTGCGTTTAACGTTTTTAAACTTCTGTAAATTTTTCTTTTATTTCCCTTTTTATGTTCTTTGAATCTCTGGAATCTATAGCTTGAACCGCAAGTTTCGGGTAATTATTGTTTTCTCTTTTGAACACTGATGTAAACATATGAGCCGTAGAAAACTTTGTACACTTCAAATCGCTGATGATTGATAATTTGAATGTGAGTTTGCATATGTGCTAATATTTTCTGTTCCCTGTTTTAGTTGAATCAAGTCTACGGCCTCTGTTCCGGGATACTTCGTTCCTGGAACTCCCACCACTTGGAAAGGATGCCCAAGACAGCATCGAGGCAGAATTGGAAATATTGCCGTTAGAGGGAACTGGAATATTGCTCTATAATGGCTGGGAAAGAAACAAGATTGGGGACTTTATTTCACTATCTATCCAAGATGGTTTTCCGGAACTTAGTTTTGACTGCCGGTCTGGACCCGTTAAAATAAGGTAAGACACAATTTTGCGTCTTGCATAGATTCCCATGCTTGTGACAGGAAAATACTAGTTGACGTTAAAACACCTTCGAAACTGTCACCTTATGAATTCAAATTGCGTTTTAAACCTTCCAGTTTTATGCAGAAGCCATTCTTAAACTCAAAAATTCACTTAATTTTCAAAATAATTTTGGCGGTAAAGATACCAGCACATCCCGAACTACCCTGCTTGCATAAAGTTTTCGCAAATTGTGCGGTTTTTTGCAGCGACCGTTTTCTAACTGTGCACTTTCTTTTGATATACCCTATAGTATTCTCAGAGAAATGGGGCCTTAGAGCATACACTTCTTACCTGTTTTTGCCTGTTGAGTCGTATACCCAACTATTGGAAGATATTTTTGTTCTATCACAGCGGTGTAACAGGCTAACCAGGGCCGAAACTAGTGGGGGTGGATTTTTTGGGAGGGACACCCCCCATATTGTAACATTGTAGTTTCGTCGGGCAAGTTTAACAATTTCAACGACACGCAAGTCGGGCCAAAAATATGTAATTGAGCAAACAATTTTACATAATTTATCGAAAAGTAATAGTTGTTGAGAAAATTTTGATAAATTTACGAAAATAATGAAAAATGTTAAATTTATGTCCGTCGGACACTCACTAATGATTGGGCAAAACAAACTCACCCCCCACCCCCAAGCCGTAATACCGACGTTTCGGCCTTGAGGCTAACTTCATAAGCAACCCTAACTCCAGAATATGCAAATCTTGTTTGAAACATTTTAATTTCATTACAACATCATTGTGTATTTTTCAACCTGCAATGATGATGCAAAATGTATTTTAAGGACGTTGAAATCTATTAAAATGTACGCATGGAACAAGATCAAATTTTTCCGAACTGGAAGGCTTGGTAGCTTGACATTAAATGATGATCATTCTGCTATGGCATTGTCTCCTGAACCTCGCAGTGCTTTGACTCTAAATAGAAACCTAATGGTAGGTGGAATTTCTGAAGAAATGCGAAGTGAAGTGGACATCAATGTTGGTTTTCACAAAGGGTTTACTGGATACATTCGTAATGTGAGTTGTTAGTATAGATTCAGTTTTATAGTATTTGAGATTTTTATTTTACCTTTATAGCCGGTTAAAGACGAGCACGTTTTCTGCAACAAACTTCATATGACAAAAATTATTTGCTCGGCTGTATATAGCCAACTATGCCAAGTCTTTCTATGACATGTACAAAATCTAATAAGCTAACTGCCCTAGTTTGGGAGAATATCTTACTATCGCCATTTAGAGTTTCTTTACATTCCAATCATAAAAATGTGGGAATTTTTGTTGCATAAGCATCGTAATAAACGGTCTCCTCACACGAAGGCTGCTCTTCGCTTGCCAAAACAATAGTATCCCTACCATTGTGAAGTTTAAATTTACCTTGGCCGGTCGTATGCACATAAGTAAAGTTTCCTCATTCAAAAGCTGATGTGTGTCTATAGTTTTTGAAGACGGCTCCTTTTCAAGAAATATCTGTAAATATTCCGCGAGCCAGCGGCTCCGGGCGTGAGCCTGTGGCGAGGGTATTAATTCCGCTGGGCTATATTTACCCGGGGAAAGGAAGGCATTATAGCGTCATATTTCATCAATAATCATGGACGCGTGACTATGGTTTATGGGTGCATGGGTGGTTATCTCACTTATCGCAAAGCCAGGAGTGAGGGAGTTTGCCAGGAGTGAGGGAGGCAGAAATTTTAAAAAAATGTAAGAAAGATTGAATAATCGATTCACATAATAGGTTCGGTTGTAAAAAATTATTTTCAATTATTGGATGAACGCAAACATTGAGAATTTTTCGGGATGAGAAATCCTAAAAAAATAGGGTAAGTTTGTTTCGACAGTACATGTATGACTTTGTCTTGATAGACTTTGTTTTTGTTGTTCAAGTATTTCCTATGCATTGTATTCGAAAGTTTCACTTAAATTAACTTCAGTTTAAGTTTTTCTAAATGCTCATAAAAAAGGAAAGCAAATCATTTTCATTAGTGTCCTGTCTGATTTAAATGTATTTCGTTTCAAAGTGCGAGTAGTAAGTTAAAGGGGTTGTTTCATCCATGTATTTCTAGTTAATCAGAGATGTTAGCAAATGAAGCCATGCCAAGGAAAATTTGTCTTGGAAATTAAGGTTGTCAAGGGGAACTTATCAAGTAGAATTTCCTCGTGTTTGATAACAGGGGATTTAACTTATTTTCGTAACATTGGCCAACTCAAGAAGGCAATGCTCCAACGATCTCGGATTCTTTCTTTCAGGAAATACTAAGTTTAATGCAATTCTAAGAGTTGCTAATTACATGCAAATATTACCAAAATGCGGGTTCCATGCATATAGTACATTAATTAAACTAGTTTCATTTTTTCAATGTAGTTGAAAATCCAGGGGAAAGAAGTGGACTTGAATTCTATTCCTAAAAGTGTGAAGAAAAATCCTTGTCTATCTTCACGATGTGAACATGATGGTCAATGTGTTCAAGACGGCGAAGGTTACTCGTGTTTGTGTAAAGCACAATATCGCGGACGTCATTGTAGTGAAGGTAAGAACGTCTTTGTGTAGTATTTGTTCACTCTCAAAATAACTACTCAGGTTCAAATTTCATGGTCAAGCTAGAACAAACACTATTTGGGTTAACGTAATATTCCTTTGTTAACTTTCCTCGATATATTTGTTTCACTTCCTATCTGGTTAGATTTGACCAAGACGTCGGCCTTGTTAAAACAATCTTGTTAAGTTAACATAGCTAGGTAAATATGTAGCCAGAGCCCGTGGTTATTTACTGTATCTACCAAGTATAGTCTAGCTAATTGAACCTGGACGACTTGGTCAAATTGCCAGATTGTAGTGAGAAAAACTCTTAAATAACAACGAAATTTAACCCAGAATAATATTTTAACCCAAATAAGGCTAATTATATTAAGGGAAACGTTCACCAGAGTGTTTTTAAGACTTTGTTTTTTCTACTTTTGTTTAGTGTGTTTTGTAGTAGTAGTTTGACATCTGCATGCTTATAGAAATCGAAAACAATTACATGCTGTCCAACCCTCGCCAAAACTACGCACGCAAATATTTCCCTATTTAAGCAGGTCGTACCAACCGGGTGGAGGGCTGGGGGGGGGGCTTCAGCCCCTCCTCCTATAATTTAGCAATAAACTAGCGATAATCTGTAAAGTTTGAGAGAGAAATAATGACCTAATTATTGCCCCGGACTAATCAGCCCCGCCGCCCCCCCCCCCCAAATACAAAATTACTCCCTACGGTAGTGTTAAGCTACCGTCCTTTTGGATATTTTATATATGTCAAAACCATGCACAATTGTTGACAATATATGCTCGGGAAAATGGCCGATAGCAGACTGTTTTTCTGCACAATCTTTTTCAGTGCATGTAAGCACTGAAGCAAAGTTTATTGATGAACTCTGCATGTATAAGACGTAACAAGGTCCGACCACTACAGCGTTTTGCATTCGGCATTCACTTTTCATGTTTATTTATAGAAATTGACCTGAAACCAATTTCGTTCCATAAAGACAGCTATGTTCGTTTCAACAAAGCAGCCTTAATGAAAATGTGAGTATATCGAGTGAATTCATTAAACAAAATACTTTGTTATAAATGTAATGGCCGGGTTGTGGATTCTAAAAGAAAGGTAGTCAAGTTTCTATTTGTGTTAGATTGAGATTAGATTAGGGTTAGAGGTTAGATGTTAAGGGATAGGATTAGTATCAGAGTTTTCTCTAGATAGATGATTATTATGTATTTGTGCACTTTTGACAATTGATTCTATTAATCTATTTATCCCGGAGACTGTGCTGATTTGCCTGATACGGTAACTGCCGTGTGACAATGTTACTTTAACTAAGCTTAAGACACTAGCATTTACCTCCATATATATCTGAAGTAAGAACTTGATTCGATAATGTGAAGCCAACGATGGCGGAAATGGACGTCCAGCTTATGCAACTATTGGTATTTATTATATATATACAGTAGTGTGCCAATTTCCCAAACCAAGCACGAAAGGGCATACGCGTACAGTATTATGAAAATCATTGGGGAGAGAGGCTGAAGTCTCTTGAACAGTTGGTTGAATGATAGCTAATGATTTGTTAATTGTTTGACTAAGAAAATGAATTTCATATATTAACTGAGCCCTATAGATATTGATAAGACTTGCAACTGAACTGTCACTTCGCGTTTGATCATGCATCGCGAATCTTATCAATTAACTATTCTCAAATTTGAGAGCTGTTTTAAATTCAGTTGATGAGAGCTGTTGAGAGTTTTGCGCATTGCCAGCATCGTATGTTATCTCTTAGCCTGCGCTCATTGATCAATGTGCCTGCCACGCAGGCTAGTAATCTCTAAGCAGAGGCCGCGGAAGCATTTCGAAAGTGGAGGGGCATTGGCCAAAAGGGGCACTGTTGTATGACAAAAATCATGCTAACGATTGTATGTCGTTCATGGATGCTCTATATAACGTCGGGAATGACCTTTAAACAGAGTCTTTAGTACTGCAAAAAGTGCACTTTAATTCTTTGTGGCAAAAGAGTGCGTTCATTCAAGAAACACATTTTTCGTTCTTTAAATGGGACACTTTAGCCATAAAGAAGGACATATTTTTCACTTTTAAGAAATGGGGGACCGGGCACATGCCCCCGTTGCCTCCCTCGGTTCCGCGGCTCCTGTCTCTAAGAAACTATATATGGAGGCGAGTTACCGGTTTACAACCCGGTCAACGTAAGTATCCAGCACCAAACGTAACCAGAGTTGTGCATATGGATATTTTAAAATTTGTTTGAATTTTTGTCCAACCTTTATTTTGAAATAAAATAATGAGTATGACCGCGAACATATTTTTAAATAATGGTAGATCATGTTTGTATAAATTTTGATCTACTTTTGAGATTTGAGATATTTTGAGGTATTCTAATTCTGCTAGCTATATAGAGAACTGTACTAAAAAGTCCGCCATATTGGATTTCAACAGAATTAATTAATTTGGTTAGAAACTTGCCATGTTGTCCAAGCATTTCTGGCGTACTGTAGTGCTGTAAACTTTTTACCGTACATATTTTGAAGATTACAAGGCGAAGATGGGTTTGTGATGTTTTCCATCAGGACTACGCAGCCTAAGGGATTGTTGATGTGGGAAGCACAGGTAAAGTATAACATTTCTTGTCCAGTTTTCGGTATATTACTGAGGTACGTTTCCGACGTGAATCTAATCTCTTTGATCTTCGTATATATCGTATGATCATCAGGTATATATAGGGATATCGAAGGACTAGATTGGGGACATATGCCGTATTGTAATGTATCAAAAATGGAAATATGTATCTACACGCTCAGTAATAATCCATAAGAAAATTTGATTGCCTGAATATTAATCAGGCAAAGTACTGAATTATTTCAATACATGTTCGGTGACAAAAAACAATATCATATCTTCTTTATGTCACCCTGCTATATATGTCCCTGTTAAAGGCACATATATATGATAAGTATGGGTTACCATGCATATGAGGCGCGAGGCAATTATATTCCCTCCTTGCTCCTTCGCCGCATTCTTTCGTCACATTTATAATATAGCCCCTCAAGTGATATGAACTGATAACCTATACATGCTACACTGCATGTACAATAGATATAAGTTAAATCTCTATGTTTATAATCGCTAACTGCAACATTTTATTTTACCAATTTGATTTTTTCAGAAATTAAGCCAGCACTTTCAAAGATATGTGACGGTTGGCCTTACAGTTGGTTTCGTTTCACTAAGGTAGATATAATATTGAGAGTTGTGTCGTACCAATCAATCATACGCTGTAGTACTGCCCGTCGCGTCGTCTCAAAAATAAAGAACTATTCTAAGAATAAATCGTCTCACGTTGGATTTTACTATGAACTTGGTGACACATTCTGAGCCGGAAATACGCGTTAACAATTTGTCCTGAAAAATTATCCGACCAAAATGAAATTTGATCGGAAATTTTTCGAATTTGGTCGAATTTTGGCGGGATGCATTACATTTATCTAAAGCCACGTGACTACAAATCAGCCAATCACGTTTGGTGTTCGAATTCACACTAGCTATATAACAATTATATTTGTATGATCATTCCTTACTATTTTTAAACTTTTAATACTTCGTTGTTTTACACGTCCTTTGTGGAAACCGACTTTAGCTGACAGCGTTGGTGCAGTTAAAAAAAGTGTATCATCATCATCCATCATCATTATCATTCATCATCATTCATGCATCATCATTCATCATCATTCATGCATCATCATCCATCATCGTCATGATAAACCTAGTATTTATAAGTTAAAGCGCCTTCGTAAACATAAATTGTAAGATTCTAAAACCGAATTGTACTATTTTATTATAGCTTTAACTTTGGTACAGGAAAGCGTCAATTTTACTCAAATATCCCTGTCGATGACGGCAAATGGCACAACGTTACAGTCGCTAGGTATGATAAGGTTAATAATTATACCAAACGGTCAGTGCCATCGTGCATGTAGTAACGGTCTTTGAAGTTGTTGGAAATCTTTAACTTTAATTTGAATGTAGGTCTTCATGTATGCTATTTTCTAGCTAACAAACTAGATTGATTGCAGCAAGATTTTCACAAATATTATTCAACAATGCAATTTATCGGAGCTAGAATGTTAGAAAGTAAACTGTTAGAAAAAGTTTGTATTTGAACGAATATCAAACTACGTATACATCCCCCGGAGCGGGCCCTACTGCATGAAGCGGCTTATTGTGAAGATTTGGTGGTGATGGTGATATAGCCTACTATGTGAAACTTCTTGCAAACAATCCCGCCATTTTTTATTTACCGTGTTTTAGGAATGAAGGATCCTGCTCTTTAACCATCGATGAGAAACACAAGACGCAATTCAGTTCGTCAACCAATGGATTGTCGATGAGAACAGCCGTTGACCTTTACATAGGTAATTTTATAATTTATTATTTCATGCCTGGTATGCGTCCACTCACTTTTGATATTAAAGTTGGTTCAAGACTCACCGGGGAAACTCCCCCTATAGTGAGATCTACGTGACCCATGCACGCCACTGGTGTATAGAACTGAATAGATAACAAGGTGCTCTTAAAGAGGGACGGAGTGACAAGGCGTAGAGGGTGCAGGAAGGTAAACATGCATGATCATGGAAAGTTCCTGTATTCATTTTTGGCTACAGTAATTCTTAAATTAGTGTTTTTTGAAGAAAGGACTTAATCTTAAATAAATGATTCCGATATATCGAAGCCATTTCATGTTGGAGCCACATAATTGACCTGATAGTATGATCATAGTAATCAAGTACAGATTACTAACATCATTATTGCATCATGACTCAGAGTTAAACTTTGAGCCAGTTACTTCAAAATATTCTTACAAATCCTTCAAAACTTAGATTAAATTTGACAAAACCAGTCATATATACACAAAAATAATTCATCCTAATCACGTGAGCTTCACGGCAAGCCCACTGGATTTCCAGTGAAGAAATTGATTTTCTATTCTTTTGTCTAGGTGGTATACCCAGCATCAAGAGTGCAACGAAAGGATTGCACAAAATAGGATTTAAAGGCTGCTTGAAAAATGTTCAGATCAACTCGAAGTTCCTCGATTTTGACCGTGATTACATTGCCTCTCAGGGCACAGGGCATTGCAGTGATACCTGAAATATTCCATCCAGATGATCGGAGATTTGTAGAATTGATTTAAAATATGCAAAGAACTGCTGCAATAATTGTAGCGAATGCAGCAAGCTGTTGCATATAAAGAATACATAAATAACTTTACGAGAGTCAAATGCATACGAGCATTTATCCGACCTTAATTGTAGGTTAATTCTATTTATCTCAAACAAACAATTAATTAAGTATTTGACTCTATCAAAACTGTTACATGTGCTAGAATGCAGGAACATAGATCAGATATGAATTTCTAAATATTTGCGAAGCAAATAATATAGTAAAGTTATACCTAAATAATCCTGGGATATCCATATATTTCCTCGAACTTAGTCGTTTGAGGGTTATTTCAAAAAGCTTTAATTTATTACTGTAGTCAAGTTCCTCAGCTCTCAATCTTGAGCTGAAGTCGGGACCGCGTCGCCGTGTTTGTCGCACCGTCGTGTTTGTTCCGTCGTCTAATCTAAATAGTCTCTCTATTGAATTAATGGCCGCGCGTCTAAATGTCAAAAAGAAATATTACTCTTAACCTTTTTTGCGTTAGTCGCGAATCACGCGAAACAGCTGCAAAGCATGTGAATTCAGAAAGGCATTCTATCGCTAATTCTTACAGTGTGTTCCTCTGCTGTCCATCTTTTTGCAAATAAGCCATTATTTTTGCCACTCAAAATCGGGGATTTAATTTCTAAGTGTGACGGAATATTCCTAATAAGGCTATAAATATAAGAACCATTTTGTTATTATTTATTAACTGCACTCGTATATAAACAGAACGCAGAGTGGGTAACATTCTGATTACATTTGACAATTATATCTAGAATCCATATATACCGTAAAAATGTTATGAGAACTGTGTGTCTGATTGTCCACATATATCCTGTTATAGTAAACATTATATTTCTTTTCATTAATAATTTTGTTTGTGTATACATGCAGCTGGGTCGATCAAGATTGTCCAGAGCTGAAAACCGAAAGACCTCGACCTCTAAGCCTGGATTTCCACATGCATGCAAGTAAAATTTCGCTGTCGAAATGTTCCGGTAACTATTTTTTGAATTGTCAGCCGGGTTAAGCCTTTATACAACTGATTTATTCAGATGGTTATAATTCAAAAGAAATCAAGCGCAATAGTTTGACGACGAAATATTTCTATGTTAGTGGAAATATTCACCTTAAAGGCCCTGTTACACGGCGCAATTTTTCATGCAACTTGTCTCGAAATGTTTAGAAAATGATTTTGATAAGGCATTGCAGGAGGTGCATGTTACACGATGCAATGATCAGACGGATTTAAGACTGGAATTTATGACCGTGTAGCTCAGTTGGTAGAGCATCGATCTAGTAATTCGAAGGTCGCGGGTTCAAGACCCAGCCGCGGCAGACAACATCTTTCTGCTTGCGCTGGGTATGGAAATTATGTAATACACACTCTAGAACATTTTCATCTTAATATATATATATATATACATATATATCTATATATATCTTAAAATATATATATATATATATATATATATATATATATATATATATATATATATATATATATATATATATATATATATATATATATATATATATATATATATATATATATATATATATATATATATATATATTAGCAGCTTCGTTTATTACAAAAAATTGTTCGCCTGTATAACCGAAAAATTGCTCGCCTTAAAACCTCGTACCCAGTTTTGAGACAACGTTCGCTCTGTATACAAGTACAAGATTTGGTTGTTAATTTAATTTTTAATTTAATTTTACAAATTTGCCATTAAAGATATAAACTAACTATAAATTACACACAATGGCTGAAATGACCACACAGAGATAAAATCTCCAATAACGGGGTCCAACATACATAAACATAACAATAATTTACACTATGGCGTGACAGATATTAGACATACTATATAATAAACAGATAAACAAATTAACAGGCCACAAATTAAAACAAACAACGATAAGACAACGACATGAGATCCTATTTGAAATTCTGAACTCGTGAATGAAGTACTAGAGTAATTTGAAGCTGTTAAGATTGTTTATGTATCGAGCATGCAAGCTATATTAAAATTTAATGACTGCTTTCCCTATCACGCACACCATCCACAACCGCCAAAATGCTATACTCTTAGTCTTGTACATGGATTTGAACCATAAGAAAAAGTAATATTCATTATAGCATTTGCAATGTTGACATTATTGACACTAGCACACACGTGACTAGAAAGTTAGTTAAGTATTTTTAGAAGCACGAGGCTAAGGAACCGGGAAGTAATTGGATACGTACTATGCTGTTTGTACAAGTTGTTTGATATCTATTGTTATACTTAAAAGTGCTTGATATTGATACAAAACCACGAACATTACATTGGCGACGAGGTAAACAAACAAACAAAAAAACCCCAGCTATCGTTTATCAATACAAACGATTTTGAAATCTCTAGTTTACGAATACAGTCATGGCGACTGGCCGAATCGATGTAG